TGGGGCTACTACGACGTGAGCGGCCAGTACGACAAGGAGTTCGAGTGTAACAACAGCGAGAGCGGCTACCTGTACTGCTGCGGCACCTGCTACTACCGCTTCTGCTGCAAGAAGCGCCACGAGAAGCTGGACCAGCGCCAGTGCACCAACTACCAGAGCCCGGTGTGGGTACAGACGCCCAGCACCCAGGTGGTGTCGCCGGGGCCCGAGAACAAGTACGACCCGGAGAAGGACAAGACCAACTTCACCGTCTACATCACCTGCGGGGTGATCGCCTTCGTCATCGTGGCCGGCGTCTTCGCCAAGGTCTCCTATGACAAGGCCCACCGCCCTCCGCGGGAGATGAACATCCACAGGTGAGAGCGCTGCCTGGGCCGCCCCACTGTTCCCGTGGCCTCACCCTCTTAGCATGCCTCCCTCGTCCCCTTCACTGTCGGGCATCAGCACACCTCTCTTGACCCTCTTAAGTTACTTCCACCATCGCTCCTTTAACATGCAGCAAATCAGAGCTTGCTTGTACCCTCTTCCCCATTTCCTCAGAACCGGGAAGGCATGCTTTGGTGGCAGGGGGATTTACAAGACGAAGTAAGAATTGGTAGAGAGCATGAAGTTTCAGGTGTAAGAATTTTACAAATTCTGTAATCCTGGATGCGGATCCAGGGGTCCGTTTTCACGGCATGTGGTCACTTTGGTGTAGGTTCTTGTGGCATTTAGTTTTTTGAGTCATATCAGAGTATTATCTTCGGTATAGGAAACTGACCGATGTTGGAACCTTACTGAAAAGAGTACCAAGCCGGGATGTTCCCCATTGTTAGGGATAGGGGTGATATGGAAAGGATGCCTCCTGCGGGAAGAAAGAATAAAGGTTCCTCCGTTCCATGTTGACCAAGCACAGATGGTGTCTCTTCATTGCATCCTGCGAGTGGGATGTTTATCTTTCCTGCTGAGACTGGAGGACTTGTTCTTTTAAACCTTGTAGGCAGAACTCTCTGAGTTAACAGTTCTTGCCTGTGTTAAACCTGGTGGGGCATCTTTCACTACTTACATTGGGGAGGCAGTGGGGGCTGCCTCCTACTAAAACTTATGCCAAGAACTCAAAATATGGTAGTTCATGGTTCCACTCACTGCACTGCTCTGGCTGCCCATGAGCGCTTTGGGAAGTCAAAGCCGTGGGGACGACAGGACCTAGCCTCTCCTGAACTCTAGGAATGACACGCCCAGGGTTAGCTCTGCTTCCAGTCCTCTCATGATGATGAATGGCTGGATGTGGTTCTACAGAGTCCTTTCAGGGCATGAACCCTGCCCCAGGAAATGCCTCCATTTCCGGTGCATGGTGTGGGCGCTGCCCTAGTAACCACAACCCCCCTGCCCTCTCAGACTGCTGCTTGTGAGTGGGCCCCGCGGGCTCTCCACTGACCCGTCCACCCTGAGCTCATCTGTGCATCCTGCTTGCTATCCTTATAACATGAAATCTCCTTCCCTCACTGCTGTGGACATTAATCACCCCTGCCTTGCCAGAGAGAGAGAAAGGCAGATAGAAATTTCTAGGCATGCTGAAAGAGCTGATTTTTTTCTTTTTTTTCTGCTTGATACTGTGGGTGTCAAGAAAAGACGATACTCCCTGGAAGGTTTTATTGAGTCAAATCCACAAAGTGTGGGTACTTCAACCTTAGGTGCTGGAATTGGAGTGATTCCAAAAGGAGACCCGTTCATAAGCCTCTCATCACGCTAAGGTGCTACCAGCCCCTCTTCCACCCCCGGCCATCTCCTGGGGAGTGTAGTTTTGCTCAGCTTCCTCTCTTGTGCCTGGACTGGCCCCGGCACTGATGGGGGAATTTTGAGAATAGTCTGTGGTTGACTTGGCTCTGAAATGCAGAGGACAGGTGAGGTGGCAGGAAAATAAGGGCAAGCTGCTCTTTCCTTTGAGTCTCGTCTGGCTGAGGACTGTCTCTCTTGGCTCAGCTTGGAAAGCAGAGGAGTCGTCCAGGGATGGGCAGGGGCCTCCTAAAGCAGATGTGCTGGCCTTTGTCATCTGTCCACTTCTGCCTCAAGACTTGGAGGCTTTTCTCCTTCCCCTGCTCCTGTGGTCCCCACCTCTCATCAGACCTTCTGCTCTAGCCATGGCCTCTTGCTGGTTGAGTCCCACAAAGCTTTCTTTGAGTTTCTCTCTTCCCTGAGCCATTGTTCTCTGCACTGAGAGAAAGCTGCCCGCTACCCTGACCCTGCCACCTCATACAGAGTTTATTCGTCATCGCCTGGAATGATACAGAGGGTGATGTCCTCAGATGCTGGCAGCAGGCATCTTTGGATGCTGGTGTTGACATGTGACCCTAGAGAGGTAACTGTCCCTCTTAGTGTCTTCTCCCTTCCTCACCACACTGATGCTGCCTACCCCAAAAGAGGGCGACACCATCGGGGCAGTTTCTCTCTGGGGTAGGGGAAGAGACCTAACCATGGGATGGGAGATGAATTTCAGGCCTCAGAACGTTATGCAAATTTGGGATGTTTCTCCCTCAAGTTCACCTCCTGATTTTATTCAGTTCACAGCCTCTCTTCCAGCAGCTGCAGTCTTGCCTGATCAGTGCTTTGGAAGCCATCGTATCTGTGCTTGCTGGGTAGGGGACAATGCCTGTCTGATGTGTGTTTGTGGTTGAGGGAGTCGCAGGGGCACAGAGCACGAGAGAGCCGTGAGTGACCTTGGGCAGACCTGGGAAACTCCCTTTTCAGCTCTGGGTAGTTCGGGCACAGCAGTCCCCGCCCGACCTCTTGCTTCCGAGGCGTGTCAGCGTGAGTGTGAGCATTGCTCTTGGACGCCCGGGTGTGAGTGTGACCACCGCTCCTCTCACTTCGCTCACACCTCAGAGGCCACTGCTTGCCCTTCTGGGGAGTATTTTTGTGCGGACAGTGTTGTCGGGGGAGCGATACGGGTAGGGAAAAGGAAGGAGTGATGGAAAAGATAAACATTCACGCCACCCTGGCTTTTCCCTAGGGGAAACGGGGAGAAGAGAGAATGTACACTCTTCAGAGGTCAAGGGAGCCGGTGGGGTGTGCGTTCAGTTACATATTCCTGAAATAGTGCTGCAAAGACGTTTCCTTTCTAAAAAGGAAAGAAAGAGCTTATTCCAGTGTGTGATCCTCCCTGCAGGTGGTAGTTGGGCAAGCAGGGGCTGAGTCTGAGGGGTTTCAATGAAAAGGGCCTCGTTGGAAAGGGATCTTTGTGGAGTGTAACAAGGGGTGAAGGAAAGGGATGGGCGGTCTGCCTCTGTCTGCCCCTGCACACCCATTCCCCAGCGCAGGACTTGCCTCGATCCCCCCACCCCTGCAGGGAAGAGCAGATTTAGTCTTTTCCAGAAGCGTTTAGACCTTGCTGTCATGTTTCTGAGTGAGAAGTCAGTGTCTATAGGGGAAGCGATCAGCCCTCTGGTGAGTCTGACGGCTGAGCGGTGAGCGCCAAGTCAGACCCAGCCGCTGGACCCTGTGGAGGGACCAGAGGCAGAGCTGTGTGCTGGGTGTGGAGAGCCACTGGACAGCCGTGCCCACCCTTCCCACTGGAACCGGTTTCCCACCAGGATTCCCACCTGCCCTTCTCCTTCCTTTAAACTGCCTAGGCCCAAGCTGACCGACTGCAGACATCCCACCAAGCTCAGTGTTTCCCCAGTGGTTTCTGCACTGCTTCCCTGGGGCTGTCTGTTCAGTGAGGGCTACCGACGCCCCCAGGGCATGGGCTGCGCTCAGGGATGGCCCAGGGGGCTGCTCCTTCTTGACATTCAGTTCTGAGCTGTCTCACATTCAGACCTGTTCTTTCCTCTTCACCCTGAGTTGATTCATTAGTGTCTTGGAGATGAGAATGGTTCTGAGGGAGGAACTGCGTGGTTTTTTTAAATGGCTAATTAACAGATGGGTCAGGAAGCTATTAGGATGCTGTCGACGCAGTTGGTGAAATCAGAGCTGCCCTGTGTCCTCCCACTGCCTGCACAGGGATGGAAGGGATGAAGGAATGTGGGCGGGGTGGGGGGATGCTTAGGGGAAGAAAAACCTGGGTGGATGCCATCAGGAAAAAGGAAAAGTATTAGGAAGTGACCCTCCACTGTCAAGAGGGTCCTTCATCTTGGGGATCTCTTGTGTATTTCTAGAGGAGGCCAAGGGAACACTTGGTTCCACCTTTTCTCCCTTTAGAAATTAAATACATGCCCAAAGAGCTCTGTTTTTTCCTTCCCAGGCCACATAAGTGCAGTAGCAGGGCCACTTTACTGGCTGATTAAGTGAGTTCTCTTTCTAGGTTCCTGGGCAAGGAATTGTCGAATCACCCCAAACACTGGATTTTTTGAAGCACTGTGGGCTCACTATAATGAATTGATCTAAACAGAAAGTCAACTTGTTTTTTTACTTCAAATGTAGCAGTTGGAAGGAAAGAAACAGAAAGCATCTTGCCTTGGACTGAAGGTCTTAGCCTTGCCTGTCTTCCTTTTTCTCTGAGTTAAAAAAAATGCATGTAAGGAAAGCAGGGAAATTGTGGAAGAATTTAAGAAGGCTTATGGAGGAGGGGTTAGGGGAAGGATGCCAGGAAGACAGAAAGAAGCAAAGATAGCAAAAGGAGGAAAGCAGTCAGGTGAGAAGTTGACTGCCCCCACTAAAGGGCAAAGTGGCATTGCCCACTCAACCTTCCTGTTCCATGGGCTTGGTTTTGTCCTGACTCTAGCAGACACATGCAGGCATTCACTTAAGAAACGAGCCCTGCTCGCCTTCCCTGGGCAAGATATGTTTCAAACTATGCAACGTAAGCTTATGAAGCACATGTTACCTTTCACACATGAGGCTAGCAGTGTTCATTCCTGCTTTAGCAGGGCAACCATGCAAATACTTTTCCAAAATCCCTGGACTTGGCGATTCTCCTAGGTCACGTTGCTCAATGTCTTCATGTTCCTTTCCTACCTTGCCCCAAGCTCAGAAGGGCTGCACGCCTGTCCCTTTCTCCCCTCCTACAGCCCTGCCCGAGGCATGGAGCACATTCATTTTGGGAAACTGACTGCTAAAATACCAAGAGTTTGCCCACAGTTCTAGGCTGCCAAGACATAGCAAGAGAAAAAAGTCATTGTTTTAAATTGATTTTAATGAGAGATCAGATTGTGCAGCCGATTCCAATCAGTTGTGCAGGAACCCATGGTTAAGACAGCTGAAAAAGTGAGCTGACTGAAAGAGGTTAATTCACTAGCCCCAGACAGACATGCCTATGGATATGGAATAAAAGGGAACGACACCAAAAGAATCTTTGTTTCCGATTCCACTGTCTGATTCCTCGGAGGCATGGCAGGATTGTATTTAGGTCTTAACTTTCTGGTTCCATTTCTATAGTCTG